AAGCTTTCCTCATATATCTTCTCTGTAATTCTCCAAGGTTGAATTAAGTCCTCTTATTTGGCATTTGACTGCTAACTAGAAGGTTGGCAGGTCAAACCCATCAGCGGCTCCTTGGAAGGAAGATTGGGCAATCTACTTTGGTAGTGATACTGCCTTGGAAGTCCAAGGAGTGGTTGTTTTGAGTCAGATTTGACTTGATGGCACTGAGTTTTATTTAAGCCTTAGCATTTTGTATATACTGCCACCATAGCACTTATGACACAGAGCAAAGGTAGTTGAGCCTGATAGGTCCATCTGTTTTCTGATATGAACTCTTTGACAGTTGTTGTTGTGTTGTTGTTGTTACATGCCTTTGAGTCGGACCCGACTCATAGCGACCCCTCCTTGGGTTTCCAAGGCAGTATCACTATGGAAGTAGATTGCTCAACCTTCCTTCCAAGGAGTGGCTGGTGGGTTCGAACCACCAGCCTTCTGGTTAGCAGTCAGGTGCCTTAGGCACTATGCTACCAGAGCTCCTGTTGTTGTTGTAGGAACTTGTTAATACTTAATATCATCATTCCTGACATATAATACTTAACTCACTCACTGCTGTAGAGTTGGTCCTGACTCATAGCGACCCCTCTTTGGGTTTCTGAGGTGATATCTCTACAGAAGTAGATTGTCCAACCTTCCTTCTGAGGGAGTGGCTGGTGGGTTTGAACCACTACCCTTCTGGTTAGCAGTCATATGCCTTAGGCACTATGCCACCAGAACTCCTTGACATATAATGGATACCTTTAAAAAAAATACTTTTTTTTTCTTGTTAGTCACATTTCTTCATTTGCTATTCACTAATACAACAACAACAACAACACACTGCCGTCGAGTCGGACCTGACTCATAGCGACCCCACCTTGCGTTTCCGAGGCAGTTATCACTATGGAAGTAGATTGCCTAACCTTCCTTCTGAGGAGTGGCTGGTGAGTTTGAACCACCAGCCTTCTGGTTAGCAGTCAAATGCCTTAGGCATTGCACCACCAGAACTCCCACTATTCACTAATAGAGCCAATTTTTTTTTTTTTGGCCTATTGTTCACTGATCACTGGTAATGCCACAGTGATTGGTACTCTTGCCTCTTTTCTCACGGAGGTGCAGAGTCTTCTGTTTCCTAATTTCTGAATTCAGGCTTTGATAAAGTCTACAAGCATTTTCATAATAGAAGACAGATGGGATGGATGGTTGGGTAGACAGAGTCATTTTAAGAAAAAGGATCATCTATATGCCTCTGTAAAGAAACTGGTGGAGCTGTGGTTAATGCATTGGGCTGCTAACCAGAAGGTTGGCAATTCAAACCCACTAGCCACTTCACAGGAGAAAGATGGGCAGTCTGCCTCTGTAAAGGTTTATAGTCTTGGAAACCCTATGAGGGTTGCTGTGAGTCAGAATTGACTTGATGACACTGGGTTTGATTTTGGTTATATGCCTCAGTTTCCTTCTCCATATTGCAGCCTTTTACATGGTTGAAAATAGTTAAAATCTGCCTCACTACAATCCTAGATCTTCTCATCAGGTTGACACTAGGCAAAAGGAATATACCATACATAAAATATGTATTCCATATAGATAGATAGATACCACCAAACCAAACTCACTGCCATCAAGTCAATCCGACTCAAAGCGACCCTTCCTTGGGTTTCCGAGGCAGTATCACTACGGAAGTAGATTGCCCAACCTTTCTTCTGAGGAGTGGCTGGTGGGTTTGAACCACCAGCCTTCTGGTTAGCAGTCAAATGCCTTAGGCACTACGCCACCAGAGCTTCTAGATAGATAGATAGTATACACCATATCCAGAGATGTTGTGAGCATGGCAGGTATGAGGATTGAAATATGGCCAGTGAGACTCAGTTTACTGAGCATATGCTATGTGGGAGCATGGTACATGATGACAGCTAGTCAGGAGCTGAACCTGGCAGGATTTTGTATCCTACATTAAGGAGTTTGCAGGTTATCCTAAGAGCAATGGAAAAACACTAAAGGGCTTACTTAGGCAGGGGGATAACAGATCAGATTTTTAGTACAAAAGATCCTTCTGATTGCAGGTGGGGCAAAATCCCAGGAAAACTTTTAAGAAGCTACTGCAGTTGAACAAGAAATGATGGCAGCTTGTTCTGTATGTAGATAGAATTGTTGTTGTTATGTGCCGTCCAGTCAGCCCCGACTCATAGCAACCCCTCCTTGGGTTTCCAAGGTGGTATCACTACAGAAGTAGATTGCCCAGCCTTGCTGAGCATTTAGAATTTGAAACCAACAGGTATGTTGACATGTTAGCCAAATAGGAGAGGCAGGGAAAAGAAAGGAAGGACAAAGGTGACACTTAGTGTGCTATCACAATGCATGATAGTAGCATTTCCTCAGATGGACTGTCACTGGAGTCGAGTGGTTTGGGAGGAAATACAAGAATCTGGTTTTGGTCATGTTGAATTTGAGGTACTTTTGGGACATCAAGGGGGAGATATTAGGTAAGCACCAAGTTGAGAAGGCCTAGCGCTCTGAGAACAGGTCTGAGCCAGAGCTAAAACTCTGACTCATAAGATATTGGTGATAATTAAGCCTTAAGTGTGGGTAGAGTGTGGAGTAAGGAAAGTACTTTGGGATTAAGCTGTGAGGAACCCAACATTTCACAGGCCAGAGAAAGGAGGGTGAACCAACAAAGGAGACAGAAGCAGCAGCCAGAGAAAAATATCATTGGATTTTAGCAACCTGAAGGTCATTGTTGACCTCATCAAGTGCTGTTGTAGTGGGATGAGAGGGCAGAAGCCAGGTGAAATGGTTGAGTGTGAGTTGAAGGAGAGGAAATGTGGGCATCGATTATAGGTCTTAAGAAAACCACAGTGTGACTGGGAAGAGAGAAAAAGCACAGTTAACAGCGGAATAAGTTTGTCGTGTCTAAGATACTGTGGAGCAGAGCAGGAACAGCCATGGAGCCCTCCTGGGAAGAGGGGAAGTCAGAGAGGGCTTCACAGAAGAGGTGCTGCTTTGCAGAACCACCATGCACTGAGTGAATGATGGAAATAAATCTGTCAGGCAGAGAGGAGAGGGCTTTCTCAGCAAAGGCATAAATGTAAGCATATGCATCTTGTTTACGGATTACACCTTGTTGATTTGGAATACAGATTGCCTAAGGAGCAGTGACAGGAGATTAATCTTGAAAAGGCACCAGGGGACAGTCATAAAACATTCTGGATGCTGGAGTGAAGTATTTGTGATTTACCAGTACTAACTGAGCAGTACTAATGCTTTTCAACTTAGCTCTGGAAATATTCTTAGTTGCAGAAGACAGTAAATGTGGACCTTTTCTGAAGTAAACATGAACTTTTCTGTCAAATTTCATATTAAAAATATCTAATGAATTTTGCATTCTAGTTAAGAATATATCTGCTTGAATTTTTTATATAAAAGAGTTTTATTTTTCAATTAGGTAAAAATGACTCCAGAAATACAGGCTTTATTGATTCTGTGGCTTTGGGTAGCTCTTGCACACTACCTAATATAACATCTTCCCATCCCAGCCCCATTTGAGATAGTGTCTCATGGCAATAAGGAACCACCAAGGGAGAGTATCAAGGTCAGATTTATGTTATGGAAAAATAATGATATTGTACAATGGAGGATGGGTTCAAGGGGGGCGGGACTAGAGACAGGAGGCTACCAAAGTGGTCTAGGTGAGAAATGAAAGCCTGAACTATAAGCAGTGGAGATAGAGAGGAGGGGATAATGAGATTTGGGTACTAGAACTGACATGATGGTGACTTCACTACATGTGAAAAAACATTGTTAAAATGAGGTACACAGAGCATTTGAGGATGATTCCTCGGTGTTTGACTTGGGCACTGGATTGGGAACATAGGAGAAGAATCAGTTTGGATGGGGTTGAGGGCAAGACCTTCTGCCACATGTTTGCTAAGCTGAAGGCCTAGACATAATAGAGAGTTGAGAGTGTGATATACTCAGCCAAGTGAAAACATAGGATTTTAATTGGCTGTATGAGTCTGGAGAGGGCTTAGGGTAGAAGTCTTCAGCAGCATGTAAGTGGCAGTTGAAGCTTTTGGAGGAGATGAAATTGTTCAAAAATGGAATGCAAAGTCTTGGGAGAAGAAGGCCAACCAGAGAGAATCTTGGGCACTACCATTATTTAAAAGAAGAGCCAGAAAAAGAAAAGTTTGAGAAAACTGGGAAGTGACCCAAGAGGGAGGAAGCAAAGGGAAGAATTATCAAGACTACAAGAATGATCAACAGTATCAAGTGCTACTTGCATTTGCTTTTTTGCAAAAAGCATCATGCAAAATAGTACCTGAAAGACATCCATTGGATTTGTTGGGTCATTGGCAATGTCAGATTACCCAATAAGCAAGGTAAGCACATTCTTACTTGGGCTTACTTACTAATCATAGTGAACATTTTCATGGTTTTTCACATCAAAAATTCTGCTGCTAGGTATGGCTGGCATCTGTCTCCCAATCCCACAGCACTTACTTGCAGAATCAAAGCCTGTGCTTACCTTGCTTATTGAGTAACCCACCTCTAATCATTGGCTATTGAAAGTCATTAGTGACCTTAATGAGGACAGATTAAGTAGAGGGCCAAAACGCAGGTTTAGCCGGATTGAGAAGTGATAGCAAGTGTAGATGGCCATGCTTTCAAGGAGCTGAGCTGCGAGGGAATATCAGGGAGTGAGCACTGGCTAGGAAAAGATGCAGCATCATGGGAGATGTTGTATAAGTGGTTTAGTTTATATAAGTGGTTTTGTTTTGTTTTTAATTTAGAGCTGTAAACATATATATATATATAAAAGAAAGTACAAGGCCTGGATGTCTTACTCATAGTAAATATACTAGAAAAATGTGTGAATGACTTGTTTACTGTTAAATTCCTCAATCTGAGTTTCACAGGTGAGATTGTTTTATGTGCTGTAGGCTTTGTATATACATTATCACAGTTTCCATGAATTTTTTTTTTTCTAGCCTCAGAATATTTTGCTGACAAGTGAATCTCCATTGGGTGACATTAAGATAGTTGATTTTGGCCTTTCAAGAATAGTGAAGAACAGTGAAGAGCTCAGAGAAATTATGGGAACTCCTGAGTATGTAGGTAAGTATTCATAAGAGTGAGATGGTTTTATGTTTGGGATCAAGAGCCACCTTCCAGGTAGGAACTCACATGTGTTATGGTTAATTGTGGTGCCACACATCTGACTGTTGTGCTGAAATTCTATTAGAGATGTATTCCTTTGGATTAAGTAAAAAAATGGAAAACTTCCAAGAGTAGGGTATTAAGTTGGTGATCCCTTTCCTGGAAGGCTAAGAGAATTCGAAGAGAGTACTTCTAAAAGGAATAGGAGATTTCCTTAAAATAAAGTAAGGTATCAGGTTATCTGAGAGTGGAAGGAAATTCAACAAGTAATGATGTTTAAAGAAGTTCAGGTTGATAATAAACATCATAAAAGCGATGGCAAATGGAGTGATTCCACAGGTGTATGGAGCAGAGAGGGCATTCAGTTAGATTGATGCAAGGATTTAAACACTGACAGTACCATCAAGAGCACAGCCAGTGTGATACATCATGAGTTCTGTAGAGTAGACAGAAAAAGAACTAAACTATGACTTTTTTTAATAGACTGGGGGGAAAGGAGAGCTGTGTGGAATTTGAAGGATTAGTGGTTTGAATGAGTTTTTTAAAGAATTAAAGTATATATAGTAGCGTAGTGCCTAAAGCACTTGACTGCTAACCAGAAGGCTGACGGTTCAAACCCACCATCCACTCCACGGAAGGAAGATGGGGCAATCTACTTCCTTAGTGATTCTGCCTTGGAAACCCAAGGAGGGGTCGCTATGAGTCGGGTCCGACTTGACGGCATATGACAACAACAACATGCAGTAGAGTAAGGCAGTAGAGTAGAGGTTATATTATATTCATAACCTCTGTTTCTCACCTCAACATTTTCAGAAGTCAAAGTTGAGTAAATTAGCATACCTAACATTTCCTCCCAGCTTCTTCCTCCCCCATATCCAATGGTGTTTTTCCCAAAACCAGTAATGGATATGGATTTTGGATAGTTTTTTCTAGAATTAGAAACTTTCATTCTGTTTTTTAATATAATTACCACAACTTTTCAGTCTTTGATCTGTTTTTAAATGGATCAGTACTTACCACCTGTCTTTTCATAGTTTTCCTGTTTGTATACTTTTAGGGGGAAAAATAAATTATCTTTTGGTTGACCAGATTGTATCAATGAGTAAATTTTTCTTTTCTTATTTCTCCCAAGTCCTTGCATGTTTGAGAATGTTTTCATATGTGACAATAATCTAGTTAAGTATTATCAAAGCCTATTATTTTTCTCAAAACTCATTAATACAGATGTAGTTTCATTGCCTCTCTGTATAATGCAGTGTCATCTGAGGATACCCCCTTTTTTTTTTTTTTTAAACCTTGTTGACTGACTTTACTAATGGATAGACAATTTAAAAAATCACTCTGGTGGCAACATATTGTTGTTGTTATGTGCCATTGAGTCGGACCCAACTCATAGTGACCCCTCCTTGGGTTTCTGAGGCAGTATCACTATGGAAGTAGATTGCACAACCTTCCTTATGAGGAGTGGCTGGTGGGTTTTAACTGCCAGCCTTCTGGTTAGCAGTCAAGTGCCTTAGGCACTATGCTACCAGAGCTCTCTTGGTGGCAACATAGGCAGCCCATTAACGAGCTACTGCAGTGGGCCAGGGGAGAGGGGAACTTGCCGTGGACTAAGATGGGGCAGTGGGGAGGACAGAAGGGAATGAATTTAAGAAAGATGTAAAAGATAGAATCTGTTAGATAGGATGTTTGATTAGATAGAGAGTGTGAGGGTGAGAAGAGGAAGGTGTCAGAAATTGTCAGTTTATATTGCAGTGTTTATGCATTCAAATATTTTTTAAATACTAGGATTCTACAATGAAGAGTGGAGGTGTGAAAAGTTAGTTACAAGCATCTGGTTAGACTACAGTATCTCATTACTTTGATTTATAATGTTAATATATTTCTAACACTTTAGCACAGACTGTGGTAGTGTCTTAATTTCTATGCTTATTTTAAATCTCTCTTATCTCTAAGAACAAAATAGAAATTTTTTCATAAAGTTATTTTTCTATTTCCTATACTAGCTCCTGAAATTCTTAGTTATGATCCTGTCAGCATGGCAACAGATATGTGGTAAGAGTTACTTATAAAAAATTAATTAAATTACTTTCTAGAAATTAATATGATACTCATTTTTCTTATATTTTCTTTCCAATTTAGGAGCATTGGAGTGTTGACATATGTCATGCTTACAGGGATATCGCCCTTCTTAGGCGATAACAAACAAGAAACATTCTTGAACATCTCACAGATGAATTTAAGTTATTCTGAGGAAGAATTTGATGTTGTGTCAGAGTCAGCTGTTGACTTCATCAAAGCACTTTTAGTTAAAAAACCTGAGTAAGTATTAGTTAACACTGATGGTTGTCAATTTAAGTGAGTGAAATAAACACGTTAAAACAGTGAAATGCCAAAATAAGAACATGAAAATGTAGACAGAAAACTAGATGAAACCTTTGATATATTTTTTGGGACAAAAAGTCACAAAAATGGAAATAATTTTAAAAAATGTAAACCACACCTCAGTGAAACAGGCTTCAAAAGTTAATCAGCAGGACCAGATTTGCTGGTCTGATAGAGCCTGGTGGAACCCCTGGGACTATGACCCCTAGCTGCCTTCCACATCTAGAATGGAACCCACTTCTGTGGTTTCCAGCCAAGCAAAGGACAGGCATAGGAGCTAAACATTTACCTGAGGTAAATACACTTCTTGGAGAGAACAATCATGGGAGAAAGAAGGGCTGTTTATGCACAGGAGATTGCTCAGGGGGCATTGGTGCATGAAGGGATGGGCACAGGGAAGAGGTGACTAGGGAGGAAATGGGAGGGAAGCTGTTGCATTGTGGTGAATTGTGGTCAATGTCATGAGACAAAGTGTATGTGAACTGCTGCATGGAAAGTGAATTTGCTCTGTAGATTTTCATCCAAATCACAATAAAAAAAAAAGTTAGCAAAATTGAATTACTGCAGATGTGTTGAGAATAGCACTTATAACTCATTGTTATTAGAAACTGACAAAAAAAAAAAAAAAGAGACAACTAATCCCTAGCAGATGTATTTATATGTTTATCCATCTGTTCTTGGACTTTGAGGAGGGCTTTTCAGAGGTACTTGACTTAAAATATTATTTTTCAATATTATGGGGAATTGCATGCAAATATCAAAAGTTCTAGTTTTATTCAGTAATCCCAGTAAGATTTTGACAAGTCTTAATATTTCCAAAATAAAATAAAATAAATGTAGCAATATCTCATACTCTAATTTGTAATGGAAGTTTTAACAATATTGCTTTAAATATGTATTTTTATACAGAGATCGAGCCACCGCTGAAGAATGTCTGAGACATCCATGGTTGACACTGAGCAGTATTCCAAGTCCTTGTCTCAGGCTGAAAGGTACATTAGAAGAAGCAAATGCCCTCCAAGAAGATGATTCTGTGCCTGAATATAATTCAGATACTGAGAAACCAGAAACCAAGGAAACAGTTCTAACAGAGGAGTTAATTGTAGTTACTTCGTATACTTTAGGACAATGCAGACAGTCTGAAAAAGAGAAAACGGAGCAAAAGGCCATTTCCAAACGATTTAAATTTGAAGAACCTTTGCTGCAAGAAATTGCAGGAGAATTTATCTACTGAGTAGTATTTCCCTTTAGAACTTTAAGATTCCTACACTGAAAACATTATTTATGGACCTTTGGCCAAATGATACATGTACTGAAAGTGGATACCAGGTGTTCCTGATTCAAACTAAAATAACTTTGTCAAACTTGTGGAGTTAGGTGAATCAAGCGAGATTCATAATGTTGCCTGCCAGGTGGTTTAACAGGTATAGCTATCTGTTTCAATGTGTTTTTGAGAAGGGAAATGTTTGTACCTTTTAATTCTACATCCTGTTTCTCCAGATTGTGAATTTGTCTGCAAAGTTATTTGTACTTTTTGTATTTGCTTTCTTCAAAAATCCAGTAAAAGTGCCAAAATTATATTATAGGTTTATAAGTTTAATGTGTAACTGTGTCTACATATATGTATGTTGATACCTTTATTAAAATTGATACAGTTATCACTTTGGGTTTTTTTTTTTTTTTGCAAAATTTTAATTTAAATAGAAGTCTTCCAAATTTTTGAGACCTGGAATAATATCCATTATAGTTTGATAATGTCTTATTTTTGTATTTTATTACTGCTTTTTGTTGATTTGATTTGGGTTCTCCTGTTGTCTTTTTGTGTGACAAAAAGACCTATCAGGGAGAAACCCCGGTTAGTTTTTTTTTTTCCCTTTCAGCACTACCACCTCTCTTATTAGTATAAGAGAGATGGTGATTTTTCACCAATGAAACTATTCTGGTTTTCAAAGTCATGGTTAAAAATAACCTATTGTGTGTTAAACTAGTGTTGGCTTTTTGGCCATTTCCCTCATGCTCATCTACTCTCACAGGCTACACCCCTACTGCTGCCTTACCTCTCGTCATTTGTCCTTTAATTTGGGGCACTTGCAGGTGTCAGTGTGATCTGATCAATACTATGGTTGCTTTGATCAGTGAAAAGACCCTATTGTTTTTGTCCCAAAGTTAAGAGCAGGGGAAGAGAGAGAAAGGCATGTTCATTTTTGCCAGTGAGCCTTCATGGGCATTGAGTTTCTTATCAGCCCTCAGGCTACACTAGGAAAAGTTATAAAATGCTAATATATTTATAGACCTTTACTTTGTCCATTAAAAAAAATTGATATGGAACACTTTGCCTTAATGCTTTCAAGGTACCTTGTCCCAAAAGACTTGTAAGAGTGTATTCAATAGAGTGTAATTTGATTAGGATTGAACACTTCAATTGTATCTAAATCACACAATGGGCGGTAAATTCCTGTTAAAAAAAATGGAAATGGAAAAATGTATGATGCCTAACTAAATATCCTTTCAAAACAAAAGTGTGAGAATCCTTATTTATCTGATTAGGCTCTGGTGCTCTGTGTGCTCGGCAGTGCAGCTTCTCATCTGTGTGCTGTGTGTGCGTGCCCTGCCCATGCACAGGCTTTGTGCTGCAGAAAGCTTGGGCTTCTCCTCCCCCATGTCTGCCTGGGATGTCACACAGCGCTTTCTTCCAAGGGTGGTTTCTCATACCACAGTCATGACAGTGGCAGCAACTATCTGCCTTTTCTACAGTGTGTTCAATGTCCTATGCTGGACATTGACCTACGGGGTCTGGGATCTTCACCCAGCCCATGCAGGGAGAGCCTTTTAGGCCCTCAGAATTGTTCAAACACTGTTTGACAAAATCAGTCATTTCAGAGAATCACTGAATTGGTCTCATCTACACAGTTTCTTAGAATCTGGCATTTCTGAACAAGCTCTAGAAAGGGGAAGAGGAAATCCTTCCACAACGGCAGAGGTTTCAGTTAAAACCCCTAGCCATGATGTTAAACCTTAGGTAAGTCTCTTGAAAGAGGTAAAACACAATTTTAGGCAAAATTTTATAAATATCTGACAAAAAAGTTTGAGAAAAAAAAATATTGAATGACATGTTTATGCACTTGATGGATTTGTCAAGTTTTAAAATCAGAATGTTTTGGATAGCATTTAAACTTTTTCCAAATGGTTTTATATGCCACTCAGAATAAATACTTTTAATATAATTATTGTATTTATAAAAAATAGGTTTTCTGTTACCTGGACACTTTGCAGTTTGTAGCATGGTGTATGACCTTAGCTGCTTTTGTACCTTGAATTTTGAGTTGTGTGCTTTTTTTAAGAAGTCCTTCAGAATGTACTTGTAAAAGGTAGCTTGGAGATTTCTGGTTTATATGATAAAAACCAAGCATGAATAATCTTCACAATATTGGACCAAATAAAATCTGTTAATGACTTGCCAGCCAGCTTCTCACTTATCTAAAGCAGTTAATGCTTTTTTTATTAACCAAGTTTACAAAAAACTAAAACAGGACTATTGAGATTACTCATACAGTTTGTAAATAGTTTGAATTATATTAAAATGTAATGTGTTTTAGTATAGTGAGAAGTTGTTTATGAAATATGTAGACTGTATAACTGGTTTTAATGAATTGGGAAATTTTTTTTTCATTTTTCTTTTCCCCGAATGAAAAAATAGGAGAAAATACCTTTCTCTAGTAGTTATACAGAAAGGATAGATGCTAATTTTAGTATGTCTTAAACTTGTCCAGCCCATCTCAGTTTGGAAGAAAATTTATTATAGAAAAGGTTATAAAGGTCACTAGAGAATGTTAGATAAGAGGGGAATTAATCCTTCTTCAGTAATGTAGTGGGGTGGAGGGGAGCTCAGACCGTTGAAGACTTAAGCTTGTTAGGAGTAATAAATAATTGATTCATAAAATTTCATATAGGAGGAAAGATAATTAGCCAAAATATCAACAGACTAACCCTAAATACTTTTTAAGCTGACAGTTGTAGAAACTTGAATTGAACTGATAAAACTGAAAGTAAATAGCCAAACTTATATTAAGATCATCTACCACCTCAGTAGGAGCTCTGGTAGCATAGTGGCTAAGGCACTTGACTGCTAACCAGAAGGCTGGCGGTTCAAACCCACCAGCCACTCCTCGGAAGGAAGGTTGGGCAATCCTACTTCCGTAGTGATACTGCCTCGGAAACCCAAGGAGGGGTCGCTATGAGTCAGGGCTGACTCGACGGCACATAACAACAACAACAACAACCACCTCAGTAGCATAGTGCCTGAGGCACTTGACTGCTAACCAGAAGGCTGGCGGTTCAAACCAACCAGGAACTCCTCGGAAGGAAGATGGGGCAATCTACTTCCATAGTGATACTGCCTCAGAAACCCAAGGAGGGGTCGCTATGAGTCGGGTCTGACTTGACGGCACATAACAACCACCACCACCTCAGAAAACCAAACTCACTGCTGTGGAGTCCATTCAACTCATAGTGACCCTCCTTGGGTTCCGAGGCAGTATTTCTGCGGAGCTAGATTGCCCAATCTTCCTTCTGAGAAGTGGCTGGTGGGTTTGAACCGCCAGCCTTCTGGTTAGCAGTCAAATGCCTGAGGCACTATGCCACCAGAGCTCCCTAGTACTTTGAGTTTGTTGCAGAATTATAAGAACTAGATATAAAACCTTCACCAGTAACCTTACTTTCTAACTGTGTTGTTGAGATCCATTACTGCCATCAAGTTGATTCCAACTCATAGTGACCCCCATATGGTTTCCAAGGCTATAAATCTTTACAGAAGAAGACTGCTTCATCTTTCTCCCATGGAGTCGCTAGTGGGTTCAAACTGCCAACCTTTTGGTTAGCAGCCCAATGCTTTATAAGTACTGTACCACCAGAGCTCCTTGTGTAGTTGAGAGGAGGAGGTATAATTTAAATATAATAAAATGTACACATCTAAATGGTATGGTATAATCAGGATTTACAAAGGGGTTCATTTTTCCATCACCCTAAAAAGTTCCTTTGTGCCCTCCCTGTGTGACCCCACATAAACCATAGGCAGTGGGCTTCATTCTCTTCAAGAAGGGTGAAAGTCTAGTCTCCTCACTCTAATACCTGCTCTGACATCACCCCAGCAGAAGTTGGGGGCCTCATTACAGCTTGGTTAGGGTGGAAGTCTAGGCTTGGTCTTTGCTGATGGGGGTGGAATTAGGGCCATGGTGTTGTCCAGATTATTGGTTGGAGCAAGAGAGTTACTGTCTGAACGTGTTATCTTGCTAGGCTGCCTTTTTTCCTTTGGCTAGAGAGAGCAGGCTTTTCTTGGGGCTTTTTTTGTCTACTCCTGTTGATGTTTCCAGGTTGCAGGTTTCTCCATCACCCAGTCTGGGGTCTGTAAGGCCAAAAGAAAACCCAGGGAACTTACTGCCATATATTCTGTAGATCCTGTGGTCTCTAGCTGGTCTACCTTCTTTTCACTTTTCAGAGCCTTGTTTGTTTTCCATATATCCAGGGCTTTTAGCTGTACTTAGCAGGAGGAATAGGGAGAAGTACATCTCCATTTTGTCTTATTTTTAATAGTTTTTTAAAATTATGGTCCTAGAAATAGTTTAGTTTTGTCATTTGCAAAATGGTATGGTTTTTAGTATTGTTTAACATAGATGAACCTCTAAAAATGCCCCTTGTTGAGTTTAATTACCATGTTCTGTAATCACTAGTTATGTCTCTCCAGTTAGAATCTAAGCCTCAGATTTAAGCTATGTCTTCTGTTAAATAATGCCATTTTTGAAGCTACTTGGAAACAACTATTAAATTTTTTTTAAAAAAAGTGAATTTCAATTTTAAGCTGAGAAATACACCTTTTATTTTTAGATGAGAAACCGTGAAGTCGTAAAGTGTTGGCTATTGAAATTTCCATAGGATCTGTAAGGTATCTTTGTTAGATCAAGCTTGTGGCATGTCAGGCTGCCCATCTAAATTCTCTCCTGCTGGCTTTACCATCCACCCCACTAACCAAGTCATAACACACACACTCCCAAAGCTGTCATTTACTGGTGAGCTGCTTCCAGAGAAGGAAATGAATCAGACCCAGGAGGAGATCCCTTTGAAGAGTCTAGCAAACTATAGCAGGACAAAGACAAAGCAAACCAAAGTGGTGCTGCACTGTGGGAGGAGAGAACAATTCACCAGTAAGAAAGAATGGAAATTTTTGGTGGCAAAGTGAATGTTCTCTTTTTTAGGTCTTTAGAAGCAAATTTTCTTCAGAATCAAATTCTTTTTTAAATGATGGAAAGCTCATTGTGGAAAGTACTTTAAAAAATAGAAATGAATTTATCTCAATCTGTCAAAAATCTTGAAATGAATAACCTATTCCGTTCCTGTTTAAGATTAACTACATTTTTATTATACTTCTCAAAATCACTATCTCCTCATTAGTTATTAGTTACAAAGCATAATTTAAATGGTCACTGGTTTAAGGAGATGTGACCTACATACATAAACTTAACCTCAATGAAATGGGTTCCCAAACTTGGAGATAATGGACCCTACCAGTGGGAGTAAGGGTAAGT